AGGAGGAGGAGGAGGAGGAGGAGGAGGAGGAGGAGGAGAGGGAGGAGGAGGAGGAGGAGGAGGAGGAGGAGGAGGAGGTGGAGGAGGAGAAGGAGGGGTCTGGGTACCCACCCCCCCGCGCGCCGCCCCAAGGCCGCAACCTCCGCGCCCTCGAATGCGGAGAGGCACCGCGGCGCCGAGGAGGCGCCGACCGCGGCGCCGCCCTCCGAGGCCGCCAGCGGGCGCCCCGCGGAGCTGGCCGTGCAGGAGGAGGGCCCCGAGCCCAGACCTCCTCGCGCTGCGAAAAAATCACGACGGGAGGTTTCTCCCTATGTTCGGCCTCCGCGACCGGGCTTCAGGACCGTCAGAAACATCGCGCAGTAGAAACATCGCGGCGGGAGGTTTTTCGCTGCTTTCGGCCTCCAGGGGCCCTTGCTGGGCCATGGAAAGGTCAAAACACGACTCAGGATGAAGAACCTGTCCCAGGGAAGGGGTCCAGGCTTCTGGGGGTCGACGCTTTGAAAGAATCACGACGTCGGGGGCCCGTGAGGGAAGCGGGTCCTGCCGGCGGCGAGCGAGGGAGGGGAGGAGGAGGAGGGGGAGGAGGAGGAGGAGGAGGAGGAGGAGGAGGAGGAGGAGGAGGAGGAGGAGGAGGAGGGGGTGGAGGAGGCGGAGGAGGAGGAGGAGATCGATCGCGTCGCATCGCCGATGCATCAGCGATGGCGCGGCGACATCGGCGATGCATCGGCGATGCATTTGCGATGTCGGACTGGAGAACATCGGGTTGCACATCGACGCGCATCACCGATGCATCGGCGATGCAGCAGCGATGCGGTGCGATGCTTTGACCCCATCTATATAATTACTCCGACCCCATCAGTCGGCGGCGAGCCTAGAGGGGAAGTGAAAAGTGCGGGTTTCGTCAGAAGGCTGTGAAGCCCCCTGGCCTTCTGAGAAGTCTTCTGAACCTTCCCCGAAGACGCGAGAAATTGTTCAGAAGGCGCGATGTCTTCTGAGAAGTCCCGCCGCCTTCTGAGAAGGCCTTCTCCTTCTCATTTCCCCCCCTCGCTCGCCGCCAAGCCTGAGGTGTTTCGCAGGGACCCGAGGGAAACCCAGACAGAATCGCGTCGCAAATCAAGATTGCGACGGGAGGTGCTCAGCCATTCTCGGCCTTTAAGGGCCCTCGCCGGGCCCCCGGGACCGTCAAAAAACGGCTGGGGATGAAAATCCGGTCCCTGGCAAAAGGTCGGGATTTCCTTGGGCGTTTCGTAATGGGGGGGTCATAAATGGGGGGGGGGGCGAGGGTGGCCCGAAAAGGTACCCAAACGGTACCTAAACGAGCCCCCTGGGGCTCTGGAGGGGCCCGAAAGGGGCACGAAAGGGGACCTTTTCTGACCCCCCCATTTGTGACCCCCCCATTAAGCCACGCCCAACCAGCGCCCGCGCATGGCAAACAAAAGAAAGACGTCGCTTGTCTGGGAGCGGGTCCGGAGCCGGAGGCTTTCTCTGTCCGTCTTCGGGCTCCCGCAGGCCCTCCCCTGGCCCTGGGGACCGTGAGGGAACGGCTCGGGAGGAGGAGCTCGCTCTGCAGGAGGGAAAGAAACACACAGGCACAATGAATCGTCGACTCCCAGGAAGATACTGGAAAATTTGGGAATTGGGGGGGGGGGAAGACAAAAAGAAAACAGAAACTATACGAAAATTTGGGGAATCCTTGCATTTGTGTGTATTTATTTGTGTGTCCCAAGGCCCCTTCAGCTCCTCTCCTCGCCAGGAGCGCGGGGCCTCGGCCAACGCCACCGGGGCGGGGTGGGAGCCGCAGCGGGAGTGGTCCGTGCGCACGGGCCTCAACTGCTTCGGCGGCCGCGGCGCGCGGCACCTCGGCGTCGCGGCGGGCGCCGAGCCGCCCGCCCTGGAGCTGGCGCTGGACGACTGCAAGGCGCAGGAGGAGAAAAAACACACACACACACACAATGAATCCCCGATTCCCCAGAAAATCGGAGGTTGGGGGGTGAGATCGCAGTGGAACGGGGAGCCCCCCTACCGGGAAATCGATTTCGGTTTCGTGTTCGTGCGTGCCGTGCGTGCGGGCGAGGCGAAGCTGCGTGGGCGGGCAAGAGGAAAGTCTCCTGTGGCTGAGGCGCGGCCGTACCAAATGATTCTCCACCGGGGCGCGGGGCCGCGCGGTGTCCCGCCGGTGTCCCGGTGGTGTCCTCTGTGGCTGAGGCGCGGCCGCACCAAATGATTCTCCACCGGGGCGCGGGGCCGCGCGGTGTCCCGCCGGTGTCCCGGTGGTGTCCCGTCGGTGTCCCGTCGGTGTCCCGTCGGTGTCCCGATGATGATGTTGATGATGATGATGATGATGATGATGATGATGATGATGATGATGATGATGATGATGATGGTGATGATGATGGTGATGATGATGTTGATGATGGCGATGATGATGATGATGATGATGATGATGATGATGATGATGATGATGATGATGATGATGATGATGATGATGATTGATGATGATGATGATGATGATGATGATGATGATGATGATGATGATGATAATGTTGATGTTGATGTTGATGTTGATGTTGATGTTGATGTTGATGTTGATGATGATGATGATGATGATGATGATGATGATGATGATGACGACGTCGATTGTGAGATCGATTGCGATCGGAGGTTGGGGGGTGAGATCGAAGTGGAACGGAGAGCCCCCCTACCGGGAAATCGATTTCGGTTTCGTCAGGAGAACAATCACCACTGTTGCCGATTGCTCGGCCCCTCCACCCCCCCCCCAACCTCCTTATCACCCGCAGGGTGGTCGTATAGGTATGGGAAAATATGGGAAGAGGGGGGGAAGACAGAAATCCAGAAAGTATGGGAAAATACGGGGAATCCATTTATTTGTGTGCATTTATCTGTGTGTCCCAGGGCCCCTTCAAAGGCGCAGTGCGAGCGGCAGGAGGAGTGCGAGGGCGTCGTCGTGCAGCCCGCGGCGCACCTCTGCTGGCCCTGCGCGGAGCTCGTGCCCGGCGAGTGCCTCGTGGGCACCGTCTACGACCTCTGGATCGGGGCGCCGCGGGCGGCCGCGGAGGGCGGCGACGGGCGAGCGCCAGCGCAGGGCCACGCACGGAGCCCCGCCGAAGCCGGGAGCGCGCCGGGGAGCGGATGGTCCCACCACGACGGCATCAACTGCTTCGTCGGCGCCGGCAGCGACACCTTCTCGGACGGCAGCGACGGCGCCCTGGCCGGCACGCGCTCCCTGCTGGAGTGCCAGGCCGCCTGCGAGACGCGAGACGGCTGCCAGGGCGTGACCGTGCGGCGCGGGCAGCGGGGCGACGCCACGGGCCCGTGCTTCCTGCGGTCGCGGCTGCGCCTGGAGCACTGCCTCCCGGGCTCCGAGTACGACCTCTGGCGGCTCGGCGACGGCCGCGCGCGGGCCCCCGCGGCCGGGCCGCCGAGGGGAGGCGCCCCGAACGGGAGCCGTGCGGCGGCGCGGGCGCCCAGCGGGCCGCAGCCCGGCGAGAGGAGCTGCCCGGCGTGTGCGCCGCGCGCGGCCGCTCCGCCGACCGTGGTGCTGCCCTTCTACGAGCGGGACCTGTGCAAGGCGCCTGGTCTCCTACTCCTACTCCTACTCCTACACTCCTACTCCTACTCCTACTCCTGGTAGGAGTAGGGGTACGAGCGGGACCTGTGCAAGACCACCCTTCTCCGCCGCCGTGGCGCTGAAGGGTGGTTTCCCGATGTCTTGGGTCGTTTTCGTTTTGACTGCGTGTTTCAGCAGAGGACGGAGCGAAGACAGAACTATAGGGAGCACGAAAACGGCACGGAACGGGAAGCACTGCTTATAGCTCGAGCCCTGCAAGGCGCAGTACACCGCTCGCTCACTCGCGCTTCACGACAAGGGCAAAGCCCTCGGCAGCGTGCTGCTCCTGTGGATCTCCACGCAGCCGAGTGGCGGCTACGCCGAGGGCGTCGACGCGATCAGGAGCTCCCTCGCGGAATCTCGAGAGGTGGAGTTTTTGGACCTGTCGCCCCAGGTCAACGGCAACGGCAAGGACGGTTGGTACGCGCAGCAGGTGCTGAAGCTCAAGGCTGCCAGCCGCGTGAAGAGCGAGTACTACGTGGTGCTCGACTCGAAGAACACGCTCATGCGAGACGTCGACGCGGAGACCTTCCTGACCGAGTGCCATCAGGCGCGCCTGGTCGGGACCTTCCCGTGGGGCGAGCTGCCCAAGCTGCACCAGGAGTGGTTCCACCGCTCCGCGGAGGTGCTGCAGGTCCGCGAGCCGGACGCGGGCGAGTGGCCCGCGTCGATCACGCCGATGATCATGCACAGGCAGACGGTCCTGGACATGCTGGAGGCGATCGGCGAGGACCCCAGCCCGCTCGAGCTCTGTGCGGGGCCCCTGTGCGGCATGCTGGACAAGGGCGCCACCGAGTTCACCCTGTACCTGATGTACGCCCAGTCCAGGGACGACTTCGGCTGCACGCACGCGGTGTCCCACGCCAGCGACTGGGCCCACGAGCTGGCCGTGTCCATGTGGCGCGGGCTCGACTCCAACATCGAGGAGGCGAGGAACGTGGCCGCCGGCCTGCGCCTCCCGACGCTCTTCGGCGCCCAGCACGGCGCCTTGGACAGCGCCTCCGACGAGCAGCGGGCGGAGGCCGCCCGCTACCTGGAGGAGATCTACGCGGACGCTGGCCTGGCGGGCGCGGCCGGGGAGGGCGGCGGCTTCATCCTCGACTGCGCCGTGGGGAGCGACTGAGCCCCCGGCCGCCCGAGGATGGATGTGCGGCGGCAGTAGGCCTCTACGGTAGGTCCATGCGGCGATGGCGCGCCGGCGACGCCGGCGAAGGCGTTCAAGGTTGATCTCCGCAGGATACAAAGGCGCGGAAGCACCGAGGGGCACGGAAGCGCCACATGACCCGACGGACTCCACCTTGAACTATCGGGGCCGCGATCGGTTCAATGTTGAACGATCGACGCGGTGTCAAAAACCTTGGCGCGCGCCGACGCCGCACGACCCTACCATATCCGCTCCCTCCAGCTCAGGCCGACGTCCCTCCTTGTTCCCCTCATGCCCCTCCCGGTCCCTCTCCCACCCGTTTGCCTTATCCAAGTACCAGCCGTCGCCAGTCGCGCGCACGGTCCCAATTTGAGAGCACGCTCTGGCCAGAGCGCTCAGCCAGAGGCTCTGCGCGGTCGGAATTGGCAGGCGGCTGCCCAGTGGACAGTGGTGTGGACGCGCCGTTGGGGCGGAGGCGGATGGACAAATCTGCCAGGACCCTGGCATTGGCTGCACGGCCAGATGGGCTGCTTGGTGCCGCTGCCAGCCAGTCTGGCCAGATTTGAAAATTGTCAGTTCTACACCCCAGGATTCCCCTGCGACGCCCCACAACGCACTCCTTGGATGCCTCCCCCACCGCCATCTCTTCAGACGTCGTCTCGGGCCTCTTTCTGGGTCTGCTTGGCTTGCGTCCCCCGAAAAGCCTTCTGTCTTCGTCTTGCGAAGAAACGCATGGGACGCAACATGTATTGAAGATATAGAAGCGCGTGTTCCCTAATTGGTGATTGATTATGACGTCGTGCGGTTCATCGGAAACAAAATGCATGATCTACTAGTTACGAGGCGTGCCACTTGTGATGCGCAAGTTTCGCGGCGCGACGTATACTTAGAGCTCACGCGAGGAATGCAATAGACGTAATGCAACCCATGAAGCGCACAGATTTGGCACAGTCCATGAAGTGCAATGAACCCGACGGATTTGATCTGTAGGCAGCACCCTTTGGCAAGGATTTTGCTGGGACCATATCGCTGGGAACTGATTTTCAGGACCCTGCCTTCAGCCAGGATCTTGTGGCCATGACCTGACGGCCCTGACCCCATGGCCTGGAGTTTCTTGGCTTGGGCACCCGGGCAGAATCCTGTGAATCGGCCCCATGGCCAGGACCTCGCGGCCACGGCGCTGCGGACAGCACTTTGCTTCGGCCCCCCAGGGCCCAGCGCTTAGCTTACCGCGGGGACCCAATGGGGGCAATTTGACGTGCCTGTTTTCCACCACCACCACCATCAGTTGGAGGGGGGAAGTGGTCCTCCTCCCCCTTTTCTTCTTCTTCTTCTTCCTCCTCCTCCTCCTCCTCTTCCTCCTCCTCCTCCTCCTCCTCCTCCTCATCATCATCATCATCATCAGCATCATCATCATCATCATCATCATCATCATCATCATCATCATCATCATCATCATCATCATCATCCACGCGCACAGCGGCCAGCTAGTTTAGCGCGACCGACGCGGCCGCGGTGGCGTTGACCGCTGGGCACTTCCCATTGGGCAGATCAGTGCGAATCGGTCACTCAAGCGAGCACGGAACCATGGCGACGTTGACAACAGTGGACACGATGATGATTGTAGCTATGCGTGTGACGACGACGACGTCTGCAAAGCCAATGACGGCGCCGATGCTGATCATGCCGATGACGATGACGATGTCCTCGCGTAGGTAATTGAGGTCTTGGAGGGAGTCCGACGGGCGCGCGCTGCCCACGCGCGCGAGTGGCCCGCATGGTATTACTTGACGGGGATCGTGCCTCCCTTCTTTTCCCAGCACGCAGGCAAGGATGTCCGAATGAATTCGACATGCGCGCGCGACCGACGCAGCCGCGGTGGCGCTGACCGCCGGGCACATCCCAGTAGGCATTGCAATGCGAGTCGGCGACTTGGGCGGGCGCGGTATCATGGCAACGTCGACAACGGTAGACACGGTGATTGGTGTCATGGTAGGTACCCAAAGGCGCATGCGGCACCCCGGCGCCATAGCCGCATGCCGTGCGCTCTGAGCCGAGACTTTTTGCACTTCGATCTTTGTGGCCACGCGAGGAGGCCGACAGGCAGAAGCAGCAGTACTTCTTGCAACTGGAGCAGCAGCTTCGTGCGCAGGAGCACCCCTCTTGTGTCGATATTCGGTCTACATGGGCAGAGCTGGCGTCGATGAAAAGTTCCACCAAAACGGAGAATCTGGGGATGGCGTTTTGTGGGAACGTTTCGATTCCAGTCATACCTAGAGCCCCCGAGGGGGCCCAAAATTGTCGTGTTCCCTGTCTTGGTCCAGGGGGACGCCGCTGACGTGGGAAATTGATCCCTCGCGCACGTCATGCAGGCGCTGTCCGTCATGTTGATGTCGGTGGAGGAAACAAGAGGAGGAGGAGGAGGAGGAGGAGGAGGAGGAGGAGGAGGAGGGAGGAGGGAGGAGGGAGGAGGGAGGAGAGGAGGAGGGAGAGGGAGGAGGGAGGAGGGAGGAGGAGGGGAGGAGGAGGAGGAGGAGGAGGAGGAAGGAGGAGGAGGAGTAGGAGGAGGAGGAGGGGAGAGAGAGGGAAGGAGGGGGAGGGGGAGGGAGAGAGAGGAAGGAGGAGGATGAACACGGCCCCCGACGTCTCGACCGGCCCTCGTCCGCAAGTCCACGGGGAGGCCAAGAAGCGCCCGGATGAATGGCCCTGTCTTGGTTCGACCCGCCTCCTCGGGCAGCATCGAGATCTGCAAGTCGAGTGGCTCCCCCTGGTCGCCGTCAGGCCGCTCTCGACGCAGCCTCGAGGAGGAGGAGGAGGAGGAGGAGGAGGAGGAGGGAGAGAAGGAGGAGGCGGAGGGGGGGGAGGGTAGAGAAGGAGGGGAGGGGGGAAAGGGAGAGGAGGGTGGAGGAGGGACGGGTGGAGGAGAGGGGGTCCTCTGCAGGATGAGACAGGAGAGGGGAAGATGTGGAGTAGGACTTGGCATCCTCCAACGTGGCTTTTTCAGTGCCCCCAGACGGAGACATGCAGCAGGCATGCGAGCCCCGTCCCCACAGCAGACCTTCCTCCTCCGCAGACCCGACCCGCCCTCCTCACAACCCTCGCGGTGCATTTTTCCGGTACGTTCTTGGATCAGTCGGGAAGCATTGCACGAGCAAGGACGTCAGCAGGAGGATATGTTCAGCCAGCAGCCAGCACTGTTTCTGCAGGTTGCCCCGCGAAGACGCCTGCGGCGAATCGTCGCCACCCCCCCTGACTTCTGGAAGCGCCCGTGCGGCCGAGCGTTGCGGCAAGACCAGGCTGTTGGACCATGTGCTCCCCCCGCCGTTGTGGAGACCCTTCGAGGAGGAGGAGGAGGAGGAGGAGGAGGAGGAGGAGGAGGAGGAGGCGTCTTGGGAGCCCCTGGGGGCACTCTTGGGGCCTCCTGGGAGCGTCCTGGGAGCCTCTTGTAGGCATCTTGGGGGCCTCGTTGAGCCTCTTGGGGGCCTTGGGAGCTTCTCGGGAGCCTCTTTGACTGTCTTATGGCATTCCTGGCCCGTCGGAAGCCGTTTGGGGCGCCTCTCTGGGCCGACTTGGGGCCTTCTTGGGGTGCTCCAGGGCCGTCTTGGAGGCCATCTTGGGCGTCTTGGAAGCCTCTTGGGCCGTCTTGGGGCCCTCTCGAGGCTGTCTTGGGGGCCTCTTGGGCCATTCTGGGGCAATGTTGCCGTCTTTGGGCCATCTTTGAACCCTTTTGAGCCGTTTCGCGGTGGTCTTCGGGGCCTCGTGGGCAGTCTTGGACCGTCGGAAAGCCGAAACGGCGAGAACGCCAAAATCCTTCAAAAACGAATTGATAATCAATGATGTTTGCATCTTGGGGCCCTCTTGGGAGGCCTCGTGGAGCGTCTTGGGGGCCTCTTGGCCGTTGTGAGGCCATCTTGGGCGTCTTGGCCCCCAAATCTTTGGGCGTTTCAGGGCTCTCTTGGACCGTCTTGGGGGGCCTCTTGAGGCGTTCTTGGCCCGTCTTGGGGCCCTCTTGGGCCCGAAAAAGTCACGCGACAAGATGCGGGAGAGCCCAAAAAGACACGCGGGCCGGGTCGCTTAAAAGACCCCTCAGGAGTGCTTAAGGGCTTAGGCAACCGACCTGAGGACACGCCCCTTCCGTGCCCAGCGGCACGGTGGCGGATCGGTACGCGCCTGCGCTGGCAAAGGGCGCTCTCCAGGCCGTAGAGTGGCTGGTTGAGTTCTCGGATTCCTCGTCCAGGGACGGGCGCGAAAAATACATGATTGATTGCATGGGTGTGCCATTCCACAGCGGGACTGCGTCACCGCGTTGCGGTTGCACCTCGCTTGCGCTGCCTGGATCTCGGCTTCGGTTGCCCGGCGTCGCGCGGTGCCGCGGCGTGGTTCTCGTCCGCCCGGACACCGCGGCGGGATGGCGAGTGCCGGGTTGGTGGGGTCGTCCCGTGGCACGGGCGGCCGATGGCGGCCGCATGCCGCACCCTTCTCCCTCGCACCCAGTGCGGGGTTGCGTCCTCTGAGCGGCGCTGGCGGTGGGCCGCATCGAGAGGCTGCGTCGCGCCCCAGGCCCAGCAGTGCTTTGAGTAGATCGCCCACTGCAGGCGCGATTACTCGGAGGCTGCGCAGAATCGCCTCTTCTTCTTCTTCTTTTTCTTCTTCTTCATCTTCCATCCCCATCTTTCCCTCTGCCTTCCTCGCACCCTCCCCATCAGGCATGCTTGATCATCATGTAATCGGCGGTGCCGCAGATGGAAGAGTGGAGGACGCGAGGAGGGCAAGGGGGGAGGGGGGTGGGGAGAAAGCGCGCAGGGATAAGGACCCTAGAATCCAACATCCCCTGTCCAAGGAGCTTAGCCTGGAGCAGCAGGCCAGCGCCCAGGTCATGGCCATGCAGCAGTCTGCGTTGGAGAAGCGCGCGGCGCTGCTCCAGCAGGCCTTCTATACGTGTATGTATGTATATTTAATAGTACAGAGACGCGGACATC